CCTCCAGAAACCGGACATCATCGCCATAACAACTGAAGCTGGTCTAGACGTCTACCCAGAGCATGTTAGGATGGTGGCTCACCATTACATTGTGGAGGGCGACAAAGGGCTACCAACAGAGATGAAGTCTACGATAATCGGACTTGAAGAGATTCCGGAAGACCACACAGCGCCGAACCTAGCGAGCATAATCTACAACACCTTGGAGAAAATGAATCTATTGGACAAGGTTTTGTACTCCATAGAAGAATATCCATTCAGCTTCACTGGCTTCAGGTGGCCTTCGTCGTCACCGACTCCGGGGGAGACATACGTAGGGCCTCGACCAAGCTCTTGATGGAGAGCCGTAAAGCATAGGACAAAGACAAGGCCGGCAAAAACGACAAGGAGCCTGACTTGGACAAGCGCTTTAGATTGAAGCACATGGTGTGCTGACTGCCGTGTGCGGGACATCGTCTCCATCTGGCAGTATCGAATGCCCTCAAACTCTTCCTCAATATGAACAATCGAGGCAAAGCCTCCAACTACCAGGAGGAGGATGACGGTGGTGATGTTGGTGATGTTGGTGTTAGTGGTATTAGTGGTGGTAGTGGTGGTAGTGGTGGCAATGGTAGTAATGGTAACAATGATGGTAATGGTGGTGATGATGTCGAAGTACTCGCTAACGCTATATATAGCGATCAAGATGACGACAGTGAGGATGATGACGAGTGGGAACCAGAAGACGATGCCGCGTGGCTAAGTGGGCTCGAGGACACCAAACCAGTCCGCAACCAGACCGTCGTCCATAACGTCATCACAAAATGCCGGGAGATGCTAAAGATGTTGAAGTTCTCCGGGAAGGCAGCTCGCATCATGGAGGATGTCCGCAGCAACATCCCTGATGAAGAGAAAGCTAACCTAAACTACACAATAGATACGCCTACCCACTGGAACTCAACAGTGGTAATGTTAGAGATGGTGCTTAAGAACGAGGCCAGCTTCGACCAGTTCCAAGCCAAAGTCAAAGCTGACAAACTTCAAGGCCAAATATGGAAAACAGTATGCAACTACGGATTCGCCACGAAAGATTATGAAAACATGCGAGACATCGTCAAGGTTTTG